TACTCAGAGAAACCCTGATTTGGAAAAAACCCAAACCAAAACAAACAGACAAAAAGGAATGCTGAGGGGGAGTGTACAGGGTCCTTGGAGAATGTTCTATCCTGCCCTCAAGACCCAGGCATATGGGTGTCATATGTAGCATCCTCTAAGGATACCTTTGCAGCCTCCCCCTCCCCCCATTGTGGCTTCTGGATACCCAACTTGTTGGTCAGGAATATCCCAGAATAATATTATAAAATAATAATAATATTTTTCCCGGGAGCACCAAGTAAAGTCCTTCAAGAGAGGGCTCTGGTCTCTTGCTGAATTCCTAAAGGGTAGAGTCAGGTACCTCCTGGCTTCCCTGTCCCCACGCCCAAAGGAGCCTCTCCTAGCTCAAGAATTCATCGTGGTTCCTGGGAAGGGCAAGCGACTCTTCAAAGGGCCAGTTCCTCTGAGGCAGGACAGACAGAGAGAGCCACCTCAGAGGAAACTGGGCACAGCTGGGGAGGGTTTCCCTGGGGTCTAGGGAGCCAAGACCTGGGAAGGTTCTGATGGAAACACCCATCTCCTCTTCTGATCCCTGCCTAAACTGTGCCTGGGCAGAGAGAGGAAAACAAAAGGTGTCCAGCAAACTTGGCATGCCCAGGCCCAAGGAGGAGGGAGATAGCAGTATCACTAGGAGATAAGAGGGCCTCTTGGAGCCTGAGTGCATCTAGAAGCCAACGCTGCTCCAAGGAGCCACCTAGGAGAGATAGCATCAGTTTTTCCAGCCTCAGGTGGTACCCAACTCAGGTGTCAACAGCTGCTCCTGGTGTCTTCCAGACCAGAGAGCTAACTAAGCCTCCCCACAAGGCCCCAGAGGTTCTGCAAAACCCATTTGGGTTCTTCCACAGGGCAGCAATGGGCCACAGGCTGATTACAAACCTTCATTGCCTTTTCTCCCAGGGCAGGCAGGACCGGAGAGAAAGGGGGCAGAAAAGACACCTTCCCTTCAATGTCTGGGGGGGGGGGGCTTACTTGAAGAATTGTCTCACTCCCCTACCCCACCCCACCCCCACCACAGGGTGTAGAGTGCCTGGGTGGAGAGCAGAAACAGATCAGGTTCTACACTCAGAAGACACACACACACACACACACACACACACACACACACACATACACACACACACACACACACACACACACACACACAGACAAAGTCAGCCCATCAGCCCTCCACCCCGGCTTTCCCAAAGAGTAAGGGAATTTTTAAGGGCCAGGGAAAGAGGATGTCAGGCTAGGAGAGGCCAATACCCCCTCCTCCCTGACTCCTGTCCTTATGATAAAATTCTGACCTTCAGCTTCAGTGATTCATTTCAAAACATCACAAAATAAATCATGACCCCTCCACTGATTTTACAAATTCCCTCTTCAGGCCAGGTGTCCTCCTAAAGGCCTACATGGGGCTAATAAACTGGTGCTTTTTTTCTTTAATCCTTCTAGGAAAGTTAACAGATTCTGGGGTAGGGACCCCTGCTATGTAGTAGGCTATGTAGCATGTCACATGAGCTGGCGTTTACATGTTCTCAGTGACCTCTGGGAAACTCAGGGTGGTTAAGTAACAGACCTAAGGCTATTCAGCTGTAAGAGGGTTCACAGTCATCTGATGCTGGGGCTACTATGTAGGCAAAAGGGAGAAACCTCTGCCTGGCTTCCCACTTCCTAAATGCATTCATCTTTACAACTATAGAGTCCCATACCCTCTTGTTTATTGAAAAGGAGTCTTAGGGCTGGAGAGATGGCTCAGCAGCTAAGAGCATTTTCCAAAGGACTCATGTTCCAGGCCCCGCACCCACACAAACTGCCTGTAGCTCTGAGGTCTTCTGGTCTCGAGTGCATGTGGCATACACTAACTCAGACACTCACAAATACACACAAATTAAAAGTAAAATCAAGCTAGGCCTTCCCAGCACTGGGAAGGCAGAGGCAGGTGATTTTGAGGACAGCCAGAACTGTTACACAGAGAAATCTTGTCTCAAAAACAAAACAAAACAAACAAACAAACAAAAAAAGTCAAACCAAATCAAGAAGCTTGTCTTGCAGCCCCAATTGACCTCCAGTTTGTACCTCAGGCTCAGGAGGGCTGGGATGACAGGTGTGAGCCACCACACTCCACTCCTTGTCTGTTTTTCAAATGATCAGGGATCATATGAGCCTTCCTTTTTTTCTGATTCAGTTGTTTACTGAGTATTATTTTATGGCCAACAAGATAGCTCAGCAGGTAAGGGCACCTGGTACCAAGCCTGATGACCCAAATTCAATCCTCAGACCTGCATGGTGGAAGGAGAGAGCTCTCCTAAGTTGTCCGTTGACCTACACACACACACACACACACACACACACACCATAACATGCGCATGCCCAAACATACATACACACACACACACACACACACCATAACATGCGCATGCCCAAACATACACACACACACACACACACACACCATAACATGTGCATGCCCAAACATACACACACACACACACACACACACCATAACATGCGCATGCCCAAACATACACACACACACACACACACACACCATAACATGTGCATGCCCAAACATACACACACTCACACATACAAAATAAAGTTTAAATGTAATAAAAGAGACTAAATTTGTTTGCTTGTCTTGCTTTTCAAGATGGTTTCTCTGTGTAACCCTGGCTGTCATTAAACTCGCTTTGTAGACCAGGCTAGCCTTAAACTCAGAGATCCACCTGCCTCTGCCTCTCATGTGCTGGCATTAAAGGTGTGCACTACCGTGCCTAGCTTGAGACTAAATATTTTGATAAAATTAAAATTATCCCAGTCTGTAACTAAAGACGGCCTCAAGGAAGAGTAGAGATGCAGAATGTCGTAGGACCTGGAAATGCTTTCCAGGGAACTGGGCAAAGCTGATCAGAGAACATCAAGAGCTTGCTCTGAGTCCTGTCAAATGTTCTGTGTGCGGATGACTTAAAACTACCGGACTCGCATAGCAGAACCATCTCTTCATGCTTCTCCTGCCTTCTTGTGCACTAGCTTACACAGACCCAGGGGATCTTCCCCAAACCCACTCTAACTTTGCCTTCTCTTAGGCAGGCCACGGTATTTCGGCTGTGCAGCGTAGCTCGGTTCTTCCCACAAACATTTCCTTATTACCCTGACACACCCATTCTCTCCTGGCTCAGAATGACCTCAAACACAGAGTCTCTAGAGCCTGCATCCACGTTAAGGTCCCCAAGGGAAGGGACTTATTTATCTAAGCCCCGCCCTCCGTACAGGAAGCTCACCTGTTGCAGGTGAAAACCCTCTACATCGCGGTTACCCCAGTTATGGCCACTTGCCACAGCTCAGGCCCAGTGTGCCCACCGATTGTCCAACCCGAATAAAAGCACAGCACACTTTCGTTGGCAAGAATTGTCCACTCCTTGCCAAGGCCTACAGTGAAACCCCCACCCATCAGTGTAAAACAGACTGGGTCTCAACACCGTCGCCTAAAGGTGTCCAAAGCGGTAGAAAGTCTCCCCGGCTTCTACAAGAGAACCGGGTCCCCCCGCGGATTTCCTGCGTCGGAGGATTAGGAGGCACAAAGGGCGGGCAGGGAGAGCGCCCAGATGGCAGAGGTAAGGGCTAAGCCGCCAAGGTAACACGCTCCAGACGCCGCTGGCGGTCGCGGGGTCACGGGAAGCCGCGTCGCCCGGCTCTGCGTCCAGGGGTCTCGCACGAGGGTCCGGACTGGGTCTCCGCTCACTGTGTCCCCCGCACCCAGCCAGGCCAGACACCTGTTCCCTGCTCCCGAAAGCCAGCACGATTGTGCAAACCCGAGTCCCAAGTTTGGCAATCCGTGTGGCGAAACAGGGAAAGACAAGTTCTCAGGGCCACTTTCTACAGGTGTCTTTCTCCGGGACGAGCCAACGTCGGAGATCCCGGGGAGCAAGGCAGACCTGGGCGCTGCCTTCTCCGACCCGCCCGGGGGAGCCCAGGGACTCGGGTCCCCGAGCGCCGTGCCGCGCCGCCCCTAGTGGTCCGCGCCCCCGAGGGCCGTGTAAAGCCAGGTAGGCTCACCTGCAATCGCGGGCCGGCCCTGCCCGAGGCCTCGGCGTTCCTCGGCGCCCGTCACCCGCCGCTCCGGTTCCCGGCGCCGGCCCACGGGCTGCAGGGCGGCCGTCTCCTTCCTGCTCACCTCCGGCGCGGCGAGGGGGGGCGGAGTCGCCGCGATTTACATACAGGCCGAGCCTGCTGAGCCAGCGCCCCGCCCCGGCCCCGCCCCCTAGGCTGAGCCGACGGGGCGGGGGCGCCGCCAGGGAGCCCTCGAGGGCGGGGGCCGAGCTCCGGCCAATCGCGGCCCCAGGAGAGCGGGGCGGGGCAGCAGGGAGGAGACGCACCTAGAGCAGTCAGGCCGACCCCGCCCTCACTTGTGCGCACCTGGTCACAGGACTGCAGACTGCTGCCAGTGTCCCACCACCTCCGGGAAGAGGAAGTAGTCCCTGGGTGCGTGACCAGGGAAGGTTCCTCCAGCGGCTGTCCAGCTAGGCGGGATCATCACAAGTGCGTTTCTTTTAACTAGACTGACCGGCAGGTGCAGGTTTCAGACCCAAGAAAGTAGGTGGTACGGGAAGGGAAGGAAGGCTTAGTGGCAAGCCGCCTAACCATGCTTGGGAACTCCCACTTCCGTCTTCAGAGAGGTGGACTGGTGGTGCCTGAGATCCAAAGGGCTAGCCACTGCAGCTAGGCTAGCTCAAGCTAGGGAGAGGCTTGGCGTGGCGTGTGGGAAAGGAACCTTTGAGTGGCTGGGGTCCAATGCAAACTGACATGGGCCTCTCAGCCACCATCCAGGTGCACTCAAGTTAGGACCAACAGGGTGTCCTCTGGCATCCTTCAGAAGCCCGTCACCTCAGTATTCAAAGTCATGGTCATGCTCTCCCACGGACGCTGTCCTCCCCCAGAGTGGACAAATCAGGAATGACGGTAAGGGTTAGTCCAGTGAAAACTTAAACCACAGCAGAAAATATTTCTTTTAATGGCTTTGGCTTTATGGCACGAAGCAGGCACCCCCGTTTAAAGGCACAGAGTCCTCTCTTCTGCCCCGTTTCCTGGGCCTCTGAAATCAAGTCCTGAGTTTCAAGGGGAGGGTCACTGCTTGGCAAGAGGGCTTGGGGCAAAGCTTCACTCCCCTACAAGCAGCAGACACCCAGGGCTGCAGACCACATTGGCCTACAGGCAGTTCCAGGTGAGTCCTGTACAGGGTTAGCGACATGGTCCCTGAGAGCAGTCCAAATCCCCCAGAAAAGGCAGGTCCCCAGAGCTGAACAGTCAGTGCCCCAGATCCCTGGGCAGTGTGAAGTCTCTGAAGCTATAGAAAGAGATGTCACCGTGATCTACCAGGGCAAAGATCAGGGGGACATCCCCACTCTGATAGGTCAACCGCTTGAGGCTGCAGAGGTCTGGGACAGGCTCATCAAATCTGTAGGAATAAAGATTAAACTGAGACCTAGTCATAGCCCACCCATGGCCCCTGAGGCTTCCAGAACAGGAAGGCTGTAAGAGAAAAGCTAGGGAAATAAGAATATGGCCCCTGGGCTCTGCTGTCTGCAAACTTCCACGGCTTTGATGGGCTCTTCAGGAGAGCTTGAGTGACAGCAGGGATGGGCTGTCACCACTCAGCCAGTAAATCCCCTCACATCTTCCCTCCCGTTGAGTGAGCTCAGGGCTACAGTGGGATGGCAGAGGAGACTAGAGACTGCCCCAAATTCCAGGACCGAGGAGCCAGGCATTTGGAAGGTTTGGTTCTAATGGCACCACCTGGCTGTCTGGCCTTAGACAGGTGGTGCTTAATCCTTCTCAGACCCTTCTCAGGGGCAGGCAAATCGGTGGCAGGGACCAAGGGGTGGGTGGGCAGCAGCCAGGGGTGCTGCTTGATCATCTCGTACCCACTAATGCACATTCGGACATAGGGTTTGCCAGGGCTGTTTTTCCGGAACGTAGCCACAGCGTCAGCCTGGTAAACGTCGAAGCTGATCTCCAAACCTCTCGACTTCTCCAGCAGCCTGAGGACCAAATAAGAAAAGTTATGACAAGGACGGTCCCCTCCCACCTCCCTCTACACCAAACCCTTTCCTACTAGCAGCTCTACAGAGCAGCATCAGCAGGCACATACCCACCATCTTGTCCCTCTTCCCTTTCCTCTAGACACACATGACAGTTCTGCCACTGGGAGCTAAGTGCGTGGGCAGGTGTCCCTGCGGTGATCCTCTGACTCACACCCAACTCCAGGCACCAAACCCCAGCTGGCAGCCAGCGTCCCGGGAGACAGTGAGGACAGCTGAGACTCACCCATAACCTCCGTCAGCAAGGTGTGTCGTCTGCAGCACAGAAACATGTTGAAGGGCCGTGGCTACAAGGACAGTGAAGAGAAGATGTAGAGAACGAGAGTCCACTTCCAATACACTCCTGGGACGCTGCCAACTGCTAACTAGGCTGGGACCACAGCTTTACCAGAGCGTGTTTAGTTTAAGCCATGTTCCACACGGTAGCAGTGTTTAGAACACACTTATCTGGTAACCCTACTCTATTCACCTACCAATCCACCACGTTCCCATGATGCCTTTAGGGAGTTCTGAACCTGATACTACACTTAGCTCAAGCCACACACTTCGTTCCTTGTGTTTAAACACTGAGCTTTCCTCTTATTTGGCTAAAAACTCTGTGGTGCCGTATTCCGGCTCATAGGCTGTGAAGGGGAAGGACAATAACCGGCTGCTGGCAAAGCCATCCAGCATTCTTGGGTATGATCTTAAAGATGCAGGTACAGTTTTCATCCCCCACAAGTGTCCTAGGCATCGGTTCATCAGAACCTCTTCCCCGATGGGCTCTGCTGGGGCCGCTGTCACCACCACAGAAGAGCCTGTGTAGGGCCCACTACACTGGACAGTCTCCTCTCATACCTTAGGCCTCAGCCAACCCCGGTCAAAACATCCTTTTTCAAGTCTTACGATCCCAGCGGCCCGATGGGTATAGCAGGGAGGGGATGGATACCTGGGGAATCGGCTTCGTCTGGGTTGAGCAAGGGAGTCACAGCCTGGCCCCACAGGTGTGGAGGGCGGGGCTGGTTCTTCTGCAGCTGTCGCCTCTGCAGCAGCTCCTTGTACTCCCGCCAGCTGGAGCAGCCCTGCACCTCGGGATCTGCGTTCACATCCTCCCGGAACTGCTGGTCCTGGTCTCTCCGGGAGAGCTTCTCCTTCCGCTGGTTCAGCTTTTGGCACCAGGACTCGGCATCTGTCCCTCGCCCAATGACATTGGCTGGGAGCAGCTCTGGGGCTGGGGCAGGCAGGAGGGTGTGGCGGCCATCTGAAGCCATGTTGGGGAAGGAGATCTGCTCAAAGTTCCAGCGTGGCTTAGGAGCCCCCTTAGCTCCATTCTGGATTTTATCATCTTTTTGGTCACATCCCACATCCTCCCTAGACGGAGTGGGGCAAGGCTCTGAAGACCCCTGTATCTGAAAGGAGAGTCCTGAGCCCTTGCTGGGGCTTGACTCCTGGGGCTTCTCTGGGTACTGGCTGTTCTGGTCACAGGCAGGTGGGCTGGAGCCTGCCAGGCTCACGGGTGGCAGGGAGTTCTGCAGGGCCTTAGCCTTCTTGTTAACAGACCTTAGAGACATGGGAAGAAAAGCAACATATTTGTCCCTTTGTTACTGTCACCAGGACACGTATGTTCCACTGGAACTGAGGTGTGCCCCCTGCTGTCTCCCCAAGCCTGTATGAGAACATTCCAGGCCTCTTCTTAATCCTTTGGGGTGGGGGGGCAACAATGGGAAATTACCGACAGCTGGGCCTCCTCTTCCTCTTGCCAGTCCCATCCTCCAGGCACTGAGCATAGCCATCCAAGTTAAGCTGCCTCTCATAAGGTGACAGGACCGAGCTGTGGGGCGAGAACAGCAGGCAGGCAACAGATCCACCTTCTCAGACTGGCGCTGCCGCGGGGTTAGGGAGGGGGTGGCCAAGAGGCAGATCCATACCCAAAGGAAGGGGACCTGGGGACAGCCACAGGGGCCTAGTCACCCTTTTGCCCAGGTCCCTCTGACTGCCACCAATAATAACTCTGACCAGATGCTCCTAAAGAACTGGCAATGCATGATTAATCAGACTCGAGTACGGAGGTGTGTGGCCCTGGGTTCCATCCCCACAGTCACAGAAAACAAGTAAACCTTCAACCACTGGGAAGCAAAACCAAGAGGCAAAACAAAACAAAACAAAAAAAAAAAAAACCAAAGATGAAAACAAACGCTCTGAGCCTGACAGTGGTGCACGCCTCTAATCCCAGTGCTCAGGAGGCGGAGGCAAGTGGCTCCAATCTGATTCTGAGGCCTGCCTGATCTACAATATTGAGTTCCAGGACAGCCAGGGCTACATCGAAAAACCCTGTCTCAAAAAACCAAATCAAAACAAAACAAAAATCTTGGATTCCCACAGGTGACATCTCTCTTTTTTATTAATTTTTGGGGTGTGTTGTTTGTTTGAGACAGGGTTTCTCTGTGTAGCCCTGGCTGTCCTGGAACCCGACATCCAGTACATTTTTACTTCTTGCAAATATATACTACTATTTCTCTGTATGTTTTTGTTTTGCTTTCTGATAGAACTAACATTGCATTAACACACTAAAATATTTTCCCCCACTTACTAAGACATTGTGGGCTCAGACCTGCAATGAGAGGTTCTTTGTCCCAGCTGGTCCTGCGGCCCTTGAGCCCCAAATAAACATACTGTTGGTCAGTGGCTTGGGCTTCTTATTGGCTAGCTCTCTCTTAATTATTAACCTATAACTACTAACCTATGTGGTTATGGCTTTCCACATGGTCTTGGCTTACTGGAGAATGCCAGACCTGCAATTCCTCTGCCTGCTACATGGTGACTGACCTGGCAGGCTGTGCTGCCTACCTTTCCCAGAATTCTCTTCATCTCCTAGCTCTGCCTATACTTCCTGCCTGGCCAATCAGCCAATCAATGTTTTATTCATCAACCAGTAAGAGAAACATATATATAATAGACTTCCCCCATCACAGACCTGATGGGAGATGTCACCGTACTTGTTACACAGACCCTTACTTATTATAACATTCTTCCCTGCTGCGGACGTGGGGAGGGGTATATGACAGAGGGGGAGAGACGGGGAGAAGGGGAAGGGAGAGAGACAGAGACTAATAGCAGAGGACAGCCTTGGGTATTATTTCTTGGGAGCTGTCTATCTTGTTTTTCTTTTGAGGTGGGGGTCTCTAGTTGGCTTGAAGCTCACTGATTAGGCCAGGCTAGCTACTGAGCCCCAGGAATCTGCCTGCCTCTGCCTCGCCCGTGCTGGGAATACAAAGATAAACACATGGCCTTTGGGTTCTGAGGGACTGAACTCAGGTCCGTGTACTTGCAGTGAGCCTCCTGCCCACACTGCCACTGTGAATTTATAGTTCCTGGTGCGTGCACGGTTCAGGTGCCAGACAGCGAGAAGCCACAGGTCTATCCACATTAGATCTAAACCAATTAACAGTATGAAACGACACTGTCATTGCAGCCTGGGACATCTGTTGCCTACACAAGTCCCCCGTGATGGCACTGCTTTGAGAGAGAAAACAGTTTGTGTGGGTAGGTCTCCACTGCTGAGCCCTTAGCTTTTCAAGTATCAACCCTGCAAAGGGCAGATGTTCCGTGACTGTTCTGCTCTTCCTCAGCCAAGAGTTCAGGGCCTGGCATGACAAGGTACTCAGTAATATTGCGTTCGGAGTGACAGAACATTCTCAGGAGGGAACTTCCCAGGACTCGTCCCACTCTGGGGATCTGGTTTAGAGTTTGGGGGGCAGAGTGTGTAACTGCGGAGGTTACAACAGTTTCTACTGTAAGTCTGAAGGTGGCTGTGGCATTCGGCAAAGCTGGACCACTGGGTAATGAAGGGAGATCTGGCCCAGCATAAGCTCTGTGAAACCCACCTCAACTGTAAATCCCTCACCAGCTCCTCATTCATGCACATGCTTCACAAACCGCTGCCCACCTACAGGCCAGTGCAGCTCTGTCTCCATGCTCAGTGAGCTGCAGGTACCTGAGCTGGGGCCAAGTTTGACAACCCAGGAAAAAGTGCAGCGATGGAATTCATGCCCCCACCCCACCCCCAGCCTCTCTAGCTCAGACCAAGAAGCCACACAGAAGCCAAAGGTCCCCAAGTAAGGGAGGCTACTTTTCACATGAGAACTTAGCCAGGTCCCAGGACCACAGTGGATGGGAATCAAAGGAAGGACTCACCTTAGCTGGAAGCGACGAACCACGTAGCCTAGTCTCTTCAGGTGGCTGAAGACCTCAAGAGAACAGAAGGAAATCTTAGATGCTCTTTTTGTTTGCATGTTTGTTTGAAAGGCGCTTGTTACATAGTACTAGCTATCCTGGAACTATGCAGACCAGGCTGGCCTCAAACTACTCAAAAGGAGTATTCTACCTCTAAGTGCTAGGATTACAACACATACAGTACCACACCTGGGTTAGATATCCATTTGTCCAGTTCCCTTTGTCATTGTCCCATTGTCCCCCCCCCCCACACACACACATGCCCCAAGAGAGACAGGGGTTCTCTGTGGAGCCCTGGCTGTCCTGGAACTTACTTTGTAGACCAGGCTGGCTTTGAACTCACAGAGATCCACCTGCCTCTGCCTCTCCAGTGCTGGGGTCAAAAGTGTATCATTCTTTACAACAACTTAGTTGCTTCTCTAAACACAAGTCATTTCCTATACCTCCCTAAACATCCTATCCTATACAGCTACAGGTGCCAAACCTTGGGACTGCTCGGACCACATTCCAATATAAATATCCTTGACCGGCCTACTGGTTCAAGTTTACAATCCCAGCTACTACGGAGGCTGAAGTAGGGAATCACAAACTCATGGCCAGCCTGGAGTATAGACTTCAAGTCCAGACTGCAATTTCAAAAGTCCCTGTCTCTTACCAGTGTTGGTGGTGCACACACCTTTAATCCTAGCACTCGGGAGACAGAGGCAAGCAGATCTCCGTGAGTTCGAGGCCAGCCTACTCTACAGAGTGAATTCCTAAAACCAAATAGAAAAAATAGAGGACTGAAGGGTTGTACTAGACTCTTTGACATCGCTTCCCACATTTCTCCTTTGTCTCCAGACACTCCCTGGTCACGGATGGGACCCATATCAGTGAGCTCCAGGTCACTGGCCCCTGCTCATGGCACACCCTCAGGGACAATGGCTTACATGTCGTCCAGTTTACAAACTTCCAAGATTATACTTCTAGCTTTGATCTTACCCTACATTCTCAGTTATATGCAATCCTGTTGTATGTCCGAGAAGCATCTCAACATCATTTTGCATGAAACAGAACATTTTTGACTAGTCCCATTCTTCCAAAATAAATGCCCACCTGCCTTCCCAGGTAGAGGACGCCATGTCAGTCATATCAGTCACGTTGGCATTAAGCCTTGATTCTCCCAGACATCCGACCCGTTGGTAACAACCCGTCATTCTTTCATCCCATTCCTGATGGGATGTCCTTCTGTATCTGTGTTTCCTTGACATCTTCACATCCCTGAGACAGTTTTTCCTGCCCACTGCCACCCTATCCCAGCCTCTACCTTCCCTTACCTGAAAGACTATTCCAGGATAGATCTTTCCTCTTTCCTAATTCTTTCTTCTACCTAACACTCAATTCTCTATAAAAAACAATCTTTTTGCCACCCCCACCCCAGACAGAGTTTCTCTGTAGCTTTGGAGTCTGCCCTGGAACTCACACTGTAGACCAGGCTGACCTCAAACTCACAGAGATCCGCCTGTCTCTGCTTCCCAAGTGCTGGGATTTAAGGCATGTGCCAACACTGCCTGGCTTCTTGTTTGCTGTCTAGTAGCTCTGTTTAAGACGGGGTTTCATTATGTACCTCCAAGCTGGTCTTAAACTTGAGATTTTCCGGCCTCAGCTTCCAGAGTGCATGTGTGGTTAACTATGAGAGGCACTCCCGACTTTCTGTTTTGTTTGAGACAGTCTCTCTATATAGTCGAGGCTGTCCTGCAGCTAGTTATATAGACTCAAAAAGCTCCTCCTGCTTCTGCCTCCCAAGTGTGGGATTAAAGGCATGCACCACCACGCCTGGCTACTTACCAACTGTTTACTATCCAATTGCCTCCATGACTAAAAGCCCTATCAGCACAGGCTCCAAACTCTCCTACAGCCGTAGCACCAGACTGTTCTTGCAACCTCAAAGGTACCTGTCACTACTCATCGGCTTGACAAATGGGAGACTCCTTGGGGGGCAACTGATACCTGATACTGTAGGAAATCCAAGGTGTCCTCAGTCAGCAGCAGCTGGTAGGCCTCTTGGATAGACAGTGGTAGGTCTTGGTAGAAGAGCTGAATAGAACCCTGGAAACAGACCAAGAGCTTAGCTGTGTGTATCCTTTCATCCATGCCCAAGCCAAATGGGGTAACTTCTTGGCTCTGATACTTTCCCCAAACACCTAGCATCACACGAATGGCCAACTAGGAAAGAAGATTAGGACCCAGGCGGCCTGTGTGGTATTCTTTTCTGTTCTCCCAGTCGGCCTGTAAGTTCACTGAAAACAATTCTGACTTCTTCCTGGCCCACCATTCCTTGGCCCGAACCCCTCCCCACGGCCCCAGGACCCCACTCACACACTCCAGCAGATACAAGGCCTCTTCGGGGTGAAGCCGCTGCCGCCCTTGCTCTGAGTAGCCCATGGTCTGCCAGAATTTCCCCTGTGGGGCAGGCAGCAGAGCCAGTGTCACAGAGCGGCTGAGGGGCCGGAGGAAGGGGGCCCCCCAGCCGCGGGGATGCTCCTGCCGCTCACCGCAGGAGACTTCAACTCCACAAAGCCCTCTTCGGGTCTCCACTCCGCGGCCACCAAGCTGCCCCTGGGGAGGAGTGGGGAGCAAGCGATCGGTGTGCACGGGCAGTCCCCGGCCCCCGCCCACCCGGCCCGGCCATGCCCGGCCCCGCTCACAGGCGTTCCACGCGCTCCTCCGCCAGCAGCTGCCACAGCTCCTGGCGGCACAGGCGCAGCCGCTCGGCCTGGGCCTCCGAGCCGTCGGGGAGGAAGTCCTTGGGGCCATGCGACCGCTGAGGCAGCTTCTGGGACCGCGAGCGCGCGGCACGGAGCTCCGAGGCGCTGGGGAGGGGCGGGGACACGCGGTCAGCACCACCGCGGCCACCCCGCCCGGCCCCGGACCCCACGCCGCCCCCACGCCCCGCCGGGAGCCCGCAGCACCTGAGCACACGCCCCGCGGGAACCTCCACGGACGCGGGATCCGAGTCGGGCTCCATCGGGCCGCCGTCTGCGGCTGCGCGCGCACCGCCCAAGCCCCGCCCACCCCGGAACTCCGCGCGGTCCTAGCGCCCGCGGACGCGACCTGCGCTCTACTCCCGACCGCAAATCCACCCCCTGCCTTCGCGCCTTCCGTCCTACCTGCCCCGCGTCCCAGCACGTGTCCCTCAGACCGCGGGAGCGAGGTCGATCTGCAGGTTTCTAGATGTGCGGAAGCTCACCTATTCTGTTTCCAGCGCTTCTGCCCCCCCCCCCCCCGTCTCTCTAGTAAAACTTCACCTGGCGTCTGGGAATGTAGTGTGAACCATCCCAAGTGTGACCCTCCTCTCCGCAGCCCTGACCCGCCTGGCGCTCTGCCACCAAGAGGAAAGAGATGCGTAGAGAAGGGAGGGCAGCGAGTCCTCGAATACCAGCTTTGCACTCCCACTGGAGGCCACGTGGGAACGTCAGGAGTGGTCCAGACACACTCGGAGTGGGCCAAAAGCATCTGTCCAGAGGAGCTCCGAAGCAGGGTTCAAAGGCCAGGGGTGTGAGGCGCTGTCCGGCTCACCCTGGTGCTGAATCGCCACCCCAGCCTCCAAAAGCACCTCCTCAAGGCTGGGGTCCCCGCCGTGACACCGCGACTCGTCCTCACGCTCACCACTAGGTGGCACCATTGCCCCAGCCAGCCGCCGTGGCTCAGCGACTCTGATCGTGGACGAAGGTCGCTGCGGGCAACCGGGGAAGAGATGGGGCGAAGGAAGAGGAAGGGATCCCCGTCCTGGTGGGGTCCTCAGGCTCAACTGCCAAAGCATCCTCTATTCTCTCCTCCTATTCACACCTCATTTTCTGGTCGAGACTTAGAGCCCAAACTCTCTCGGGATCCCCAGCCAGCACGAAGCTACTTTGCACCCCCAAGCAGCTTTACCTGCGCGCATGCGCTGATCCCAGTGGCTCGGATCCCGACTGGCTGGTGGGGGCGGGGCCTAGTGAGGATTGGGGCGGGACCCAGGGTGCTGATTGACAATCCTACTGTGCGGCTGGGACAGTCCCCAGATCCCGATCCGGCGGGAGGGAGGGGGGAGGGGCGGGATTTCCTGCGGGAGGCGCCGAGCCGGCCTTGGAAAGGAGGAGAAAGGGGTTGGTTGGGGGGGGGGGGACAGTGGAAGCCAGCGTCCTGAGTGCCCGGGACTGAGTGAGCACCGCCAGCCGGACCCCCGGCGGGGCGGCCGGGAGAGGTGAGTCTGCGGGCCCCCGGCTGGGGCTCAGAACCCTTGAGAGCATACATACGCAAACTAACTTTTCTTGTCTGATCGCAGGGCGCCTCCATCTCTGCGCTCCTTCCGCCTTCTCCGAGCCCCCCTTTTCGTCCTCCTCTATCTATCCCTCGGATTCTTGAGTCTCCGGGTCCCTCTTGCCGCTTTGTTCCCGGGGTCGGCCGGGGCTGGGCTTGGCTGCGGGGAGCTGCGCGGCGCTAGAGGGGCATTCCGAGGGGCGGGGGAGCCAGCCGACCCCAGGCACTGCCAGGAGCACCCTCCCCCGGTGCGGGTCGCGGGCTTTGAGGAGGAGTGCCCTCCGGCTTGGGTTTAGGATTTACAAGGAATGAGGGGTTCCCCACCTGGGCCCCCAGGCCTGCACGAGTCTCATGCCACAAGATTCTGGCAACAAAATCACCGCCGCCGAGGAACTGACTTAAGGATTTTTGCGGGAAGCCGAGGGTTGGGGTTTCAGGTTCAGGCTCGGGAGGCAGCTGGCTAGCAGTGCCCAAGCCCTGTATCCCTGCCCAGCTGCCCCCTCACGCCACAGAAGGGTTAGCAACAGGTGCTGTTCCCTATCCAACAGGTAGACCGCCCGCAGAAAACGAGGGGCATGAGCTCCCCACTCCACCCTCTAAGTGGAGCCCAGACAGTGGAGTCTGAGGTCAGACAGACACCTTGGACGGGGAGTGACCCCTGCCCATCTGCCGGTGCCACTCTTCTCCAGGCCCTATTGGCCCCGCCTGTAGTCTGTGGGTGTCAGAGCCCGGGGCTGTGGAGAATGGGCTGCTGGCCCTGCCCACCCCAGTGTCTCCTGCTGCCAGGGCCCCTCCTGCCCAAGGCTGAGGAGCTGCCCAGTGCGATAGAACACAGGAACTCACCCTCCCTCCTGCAATACCACCCCTCTCCCCTTTGCGTGTATATATTTCTCTCAAGTACAGCAGCCTCCTCCCCTCCCAGAGTGGCTCAGACCCTCCATGACTCCCGGGGCAGCCATAGTTATTTGGGGCTCTCTAGAGGTCCTGTCTTATTCCTCCTGTGTTGTGTTCTGGCTGTGACCCAGCTTTTGAGCTGAAGACCTGTGCCTTTTCCAGACCTCCAGGACTTCTCCACGGCCACTGCCTCACGCCAGAGGGAATGGTGACTGCTCTCTGGATGGGCACTGGCGCTTCCCAGCTAACCCAGGAAAATTGGCGGGCCCAGTCCCAGCCCATCCCAAGGCCGTCGGAAGCTGCGGGCTAATCTTAGTCCAGATTTCCAGTCTCCTCCCCCTGGAGACTGGCTTTCCTGCCGGTGGTAGCAGCTCCCAGAGCACCTTGAGGGACTACATCTCTGCCTGACAAGCAGCCCATTGCCTGGGACACCAGACTTGTTCCCCCAGGACCAGGAGTCCTCCAAAGACGGGGGCATGGCGAACTGACGTTCGTTCGTTCGCTCGGTTGAACCAGCGTCCTGCTTCTCCCGGGCTCTGAATCCCAGAGCCTGGCGCAGTACTCAGAATGGGTCGTGAACAGGAGCTGATCCTCGCTGTCAAGAACGGAGATGTGACCTGTGTGCAGAAACTGGTAGCTAAAGTGAAGGCTGCAAAGACAAGTGAGTCCTTGGTGGGGAGGGCAGCCAGCTGGGGCCGGTTTCTGAGTACCCAGGCTGTGCAGAGAAGCTCGGAGAGGGAGGGCGGAGGGCAGGGCCACTTGGGTTTGCAGACTTGAGAAAGAAGGACTGTCGTGTTGTAGACAAGAAGTGCCTCAGTGCAAGACAGCCAGGGAGGAAAACCGGTCCCTTCTTGCTCTGTGTCTCCAGGCGAGTCACTTAACAGCTCTGAGCTGTGGGACCCTGGCCTGCGAAGTGAGCACTCCGTTTATGCTTTTGTTGTTTATTGTGTGCCCGGCTCTGTTCTAAGAACTGGACTGAGCTTTGGAGGTTGCCTGTTGGTAGCTGGCTTTTCAGATGGCTCCGTGAGACTTGGTTATGGGATGGAAAAGTCTGAATAGAGTGCCATGGCAACCCCCCCCCAACCCCGTCCACATACAACCATAGCTTTCCTGTGTGTATGTCTGAACATCGTGAGGATGTTTGGAAAACCTCTCTGGAAACAGCCGTTGGGTCTCTGATGTCGTGGGTTGGTTGGTTTGGGGCTGTCTCTGTCAGGCTTAGAACCCAGGACCTCACACTTGGCACACAAGTGCTTGACCACCCTGGGCATCATATTCCCGCCCCTCAGAGAGCAGTTTCTCAGGGACTCACAACAACATATGGACTAAAGGTCCTTTCTCCCCAGATCACCCTTGTGTTCCTTGGGAGTGTGTGGCCGATGCTAATTTTCTAGCAGTTTCCACAACCCTTAAGGACTCTATCCCTGACAGGGCAGCCAGAGCTGGATGCATGGATGGCCACTAAGTCCCATCTCTCAGGACCCTCTGTGATGACACTACCTCTCACACCCACCCCAGGAAAATAGTCCTCAGAACCCTGGACTCTTCCAGACCATTAGGCTTGTCTCCTTCAGGACTTAAATCAATGGATACTTATTCCTACTCCTCTGGGGCTAGAGAAAGTGTTCCCTGAGGGGAGGGTCTCCTCTGTAGCATTGGGGTTTTAACCCCAAGACACACCTGGGTCTTGTACACAGGAAGGGATCCCCAGGCTACTTGGAGACATCTATTATCCCCACCCACACCTTGGAGTGTTGGTGCCAGAAGGAAAGACTCTAATGGCGTGCACCCACCTGCACAGCAGGGTGGAGACCCAGCCATGAGGTGGAGCTGTGCCCCTAGGTGCTTTCATCCTGGGGAAGCCATGAGGGTGAACAAGATGGAAGGAAGGTGCCGAGTTGGTCCCCAGGAGAGGGCCTGAAGGGCTAAGTGGAAGCCGCTCTCCTGCCTGCTCACCTCAGTGTTGCTCTTGGCCACCTGCCCGGTGGGGCCTTGGTCACACTGCTGCTGGCCTCAGCCTTGGCCGCCTCAGAGAGGGAGGCCCATCGGAGGGTAGTAAGAGGGGTTGGCTGCTGGCGGGAACCTCACAACTAGGCATGTAGGCTCCAGAAAATGTCCCTCTCTGTCCTGTGGCAAAGTGTAGGGGATGAGGTTCCTTCCCTCCATCCAAGGTGTGGATTCTCACCTATACAGCATACAGGTCCAGACACAGGGTGACACAGGCCTGCGCCTCCTCATTAAGTCCCTGCATCGGGCCTCCTCTGAGAGGTCAAAGATCATAGGTGACCTCTGTAAGCCTTGGAGTTTGTGAAATAGTGCCACCCCCTTGCTTCCTGACAGGTAGGTTTTTCTGTAGCCATTACACAGATAAGGGAAAGTGGCTCTCAGAGGTTAGTGACTTGCCCAAGGTCACATAGCCCTGGGGTCAGATGAGAGATAAGCCGGTGTGCTTCTCTCTGTGTCCCCGGTGATCACTGGTTTCTGTCCCCTTCAGTCAGTGTCACCTGGGGGGTGTTCTAAACACACAGAGTCCCCCAAATTGAAATTATGCTACAGAGCCTGGGACTCTGTGGGTGATAAAGTTTAGTTGAGTCCAGCGCAGTTCTCCAAGAGGGGTGAAGGGTCCCTGTACCAAAGCAAAGGACGGAAAGCCTCCAGCTGATAGATTGTAGATATCAGCTACGCGCTGTGCTCCCTCTTCAGGAGCAGGCTGCTGGGAGGATGCCTTTGCACCCGCCTGGCCCCTGGCCCCTGCCCCTCCCCATCTCCCTCTGAGGTCTCCTTTCTTGGCTAGAGGAAATGGATGGGCTGGGATGGCTGGCTGAACTCACATCCTTTGCTTGGGCCTGAGACACGGTGACCCTTCCAGCCCCAGAGCCAAGCTGAGGAAGAAGGTTATGCCACAGCGGAAGTGACTGGAGCCTCCACCAGGAACCAGGACCCTCCGCCCTCCTGCCAGGGTCCCCAGCCCAGTTTCTGTGGGCCTCTCCTCCACCACCTTTCCGGCTATTGTTCTGGAAAGAACAGAGCCACCTCTCTGGCCCTGCCCCTGTTCCTGTGTGTGTGTGTGTCGTCGTCCCCCCCCCCCACCCGGTCACATTGTCTGCCCCTCCCTAGAGTGGACAGACACATCCAGCCACCCAGCTGCTCCAGCCTAGACTCTTCTAACGAACAGGCTAGTGAAGGGAAGGTTCTCTGAAGGACTCTTGCTCTCTTCTCTTGGGATCTTGTCTTCACTGAGGCATAAAGAGGCACCGTGGGGGTCAAAGTCACAGCCCAGAAAAGACAGAGTAGCCTTTGGGCCCTGCACTTCCTGCTTCCGAAGCTCCTGTTCTTTCCCCTACCCCCCCCCAAAGGTTCTGTGTTATAAGGACTGTCAGAGGGGGCGAGAGGGAGTCTGGGAGGTCTGTGTTAACTCCCAGCAGCCCCCACACACTCTCTGCCCTGCCTCTTCTTGGTTCTGTGTTTACCTTTTTAGTATAGAGCCCTTCAGCTCCACCTATGTGTGTCCCTCCCTCCCTCCCTGTCCCTTGCCTCCCTCCCTGATGGAATGAGGCCCAGCCTCTCCCAGACTGCTGGGGTATTTGGGGGCCCATTAGGGCCTGGGGGGCAGGCCTGGACCAGCATGTTTGGCACCCTGCCCAGCCTGGGCTGAGCCAGGCCCACTCCTTCCAAGCAGGGTGGGTTCCAGCAGGATGCAGGGGTTGCCTGTGACAAGGCTTCTCTCCCGATACCTCAAGGACCTCCCCAGCATGGTCTGTGTGCCGGTGGGTCCAACTGTGAGTGTGTCCTGTCCCAGGAGGCAGGGTCACTGCTTCTCTAGTGAGGGACCCACCAAGTCAAAGCTTGTGGGTATCGAGTCGGCAGGCGTTCCCCAGGCAGACAGAGATCCACTGAAACGCCGGAAGACAGTTTGGGTATGGTGACCTGTGTCCTGGCCATCGTGTCAGGAGCGCTAAACTGTTATGGTTGTCATCATTCATATGCCCACAAAGGACAGACACTACCCTGACCACCTCTGGGGGCAGAGTCTATGACCAGCCTATCTTTGTGGAGATCGGGTCCTGTAGGTTAAGTGGCCCAAATTGGCAGGGCTGGCGCATGGGCCTGGGCTAGTAGTGTACTCATATTCCATATGGCCCTGCCCACCAGGTCCTACTCAGGGGTGCTTGGAGCCCAGTCTCGTCAACAACTTTCTCTCTGCCCTTGCATACTTAAGGGCCCCTCTCCCCCGTTCTTTCAATGCCCGTTCCCCTCGGCCTGACAGGACAATGTGACTCTCCCTAACCCATTCAGGCAGGAATGCCAACCATGTACCCCGTGGGCCTGTCCTATTGAAGGCATGTCATGCCAATACCCCTTCCCGCCCCCTTTGGCGTCTATAAACAAGCTGGGCAGGGGCTCTAGACAAGCCAGGCTGCTACTGCGGTGGCTTCCTGGACTCTTCGCCCTCGAGCCGTAGGGACAGGACCTGTAAAAGGCCATGGGGCAGGTGCTCTTCTGTACACCGAAAGGTCGGTTGGGTCCTCGGATGTGGGTAACGGGAGTGCCGGGTGAAGACAGGGTATGGACAGAGCTGTTGGTGCCATGTGCCCTGATGGCCCCTCTCTTGATCCCCTCTCCCGCCCCCCCCCCTCCAGAGCTCCTCGGCTCCACAAAGAGACTCAACATCAACTACCAGGATGCTGATGGGTGAGTGTGCTGCCTGGGGAAGAGTGGGGTCCTGGGATTGGGTGAGAGGAAATGGGCCTGGAGCCCACAGTCCCCTCCCTCAGACTCGGCCCTTGAAGCGTGTTTGCCGTGAGCCCTGGATCCTGCCTGTGTAGGGCCAGAGGGAGGGGGTCCTGCCCACCCACCTGCCCTTGGAGTTAGCCCTGAGCAAGTGGAGGGGCCCCCTTGGGTCAGATTCTTCCTGGGCCCCTTTTCTCCCTGGAGGGTAGGAGCCCTCAGGCTTCTGCTCCCACGGCCCCCTCCTCTGGGCAGGCTGGGTGGGGGATGCCAGACAAATGGGCCTCTCAGGCAAGACACTGAGCCCTTTCATGCTGTGGCCCGGGTGCTGTGCGCTCCCACGGCAGGGCTGGCAGGCACAGGGGGGCAAGTAACCCATCACTGCCGGCCCCCAGAGTGAGCTTGGGGTAGGAGACTATTCACTGACACCCCCGTTTTATGTCCCCCATGCCAGATTCTCTGCTCTCCATCATGCTGCCTTGGGGGGGAGCCTGGAGCTCATAGCCTTATTGCTGGAGGCTCAAGCCACTGTCGACATCAGGGATAGCAATGGTGAGAGCCCAATGTACCGCACCACGTGGGAAAAGCAGGGCCTCGACTGCAGCCCTGGGGGCCAGAGCTCACTCCTGTTGGGACACACTGAGAGGGGTGTGTGTGGGAGCTCGTGAATGGCCTCCTTCTGGAGACAGTATATAAATCGGATCTCCCATTATTTAGACGAGGAAGCTCAGGGAAGTTATAGTCCTGTCCTGGGTTTGTAGATCATCTGTGGTGGGCACAGCGAGGACTGACTTCAGCCTCATTTAGGACCTTTTTCTAAGCAAACCCGGATGAAGCTAGCATTGCTATATGTGTGTGGCTCTTTCCTTCCAGCCAGGGCGGCTCCATTCTCTGTTTAGATCCCTTGACCCCTCTTAGCATCTCTTTTTCCTCCTGCCAGGCATGCGTCCCCTACACTATGCAGCCTGGCAGGGCCGGCTGGAGCCTGTGAGGCTGCTCCTGCGGGCTTCTGCGGCCGTCAATGCTGCCTCGCTGGACGGTCAGATCCCTCTGCACCTGGCTGCACAGTATGGGCATTATGAGGTGGTAAGTGAGCCTGCCTGAGGGGATGTGGGGGCAAGGAGCCAGGCAGGGGCCAGCCTCCCTGACTCAGCTTCCCCCATCCCAGTCAGAGATGCTTCTCCAACACCAGTCTAACCCATGCCTAGTCAACAAGTTGAAGAAGACACCTCTAGACCTAGCCTGTGAATTTGGGCGGCTCAAGGTGAGGTCTATAGCCCCGGGGTGCTGGGTGCTGGATTCTGTTTAGTCTCAGGACGGGGCTCCAACTGGGTACTGCACACTGTAGGTGGCCCAGCTGCTTTTGAACAGCCACCTATGTGTGGCACTGCTGGAGGGAGAGGCAAAGGATCCGTGTGACCCCAACTACACCACACCCCTGCACTTGGCTGCCAAGAATGGCCACAGAGAAGTCATCAGGTACCCCAGGGGACCCACCCACTTCCTCAACCTTCCTGTGGGACCATTAGTTTCTAACCAGTGCCTCCCTGCTGCTTCTTAAAATTATTCTGCACGCCATGCATTCTGGGGGCGGGGGGGGGGGCGTGCGTGTGAGTATGGTTACCTGCAAGAGACCGTAGAGCTGGAGTTCCAAGTGGTTATGAGCTGCCCGGTGTGGGTGCCGGGAACTGAGCCGGGGCTCTCTGAGAGCAGCACCCCCTTAACCACGGAGCCATCTCTCCAGTTCTCTGCTGCTGCTTCCACTCTTGCTTTCAATGTCGCGGTCCCCACACCCCTGGCAATCTTCTGCCCCCACCCAGCCGCCTCACACCCTCTGCCCGCCACAGGCAGCTCTTGAAAGCTGGTATTGAGATCAACCGCCAAACCAAGACGGGCACCGCCCTCCACGAGGCTGCTTTATACGGCAAAACCGAGGTGGTGCGGCTGCTCCTAGAGGTGGGTGTGGGCACAGAGGGCCCTACCGGTATGTGCTGAGGGTAGCTGGGAAGGCCGTGGTGTTTTGTGGTGCTAAGACCTGTGGCTGGAGAGCAGACCCGACTGGTTTAGACACCAAGGCTGTCTCTTAACCTGATGTCTGAAACTTCATGCTTATCATCTCTAAAAGCTGGGATTAATAACAGCACCCACCTCCTGGGTAGTTGGGAGTACTAGAGGAGAAATGTCAGGCAAAGTGCTTGGGACATACTCCTGTGGTACTGTGAACCCCAGGGAGGTGTGGACGTGAATATCCGGAACACGTACAACCAGACGGCGCTGGACATCGTGAACCAGTTTACAACCTCCCAGGCCAGCCGGGAGATCAAGCAGCTACTTCGGGGTGAGTGGGAGGGAGGAGGACCTAGCAGGGGCGGGGGTTGGGGAGCCTTTACAGTGGGTGTGGTGGGGGAAGTCAGCTGGGGACACCATAACGGACACCTGCCCTACCCCTTCTCTCAGAGGCTTCAGGGATCTTGAAGGTTCGGGCGCTTAAGGATTTCTGGAACCTTCATGACCCCACCGCACTCAATGTCCGGGCAGGAGATGTCATCACGGTAAGGGGCCTATACATCCTTCATAAGACAAGCAATTGCTGTGACTTACTTGTACATCTGCTGTGGTACTAGGCCAGGTTAAATCCTTATATACTCTTTCATATAATCCTTTTTAGATCTAGGGAACATTGGTACCATTATCATTTTCTTTTGAGATGACAAAGTCGAGGGTTAGAGAAGCTAACGGACTTGTCCAGGTCACACACCTAGCGAGTGGTAGAACTGGGAATAGAGTATCATTGTTTGTACACCCTGTGGTACAAGGAGATTGGGCTGGCATTGGTGACCAAACGGGTAGAGGTCAGCTCTGTGCAGGGAAGAGATGGACCAGGCCCGCTGGACCAAGCTTGCAGAGACAGCCACTGCCACTTGCTCGGTATAGTGACTGCCCTTTCCATCCACACCCTGTCACAACAGGTGCTTGAACAGCATCCCGACGGCCGCTGGAAGGGCCACATCCATGAGAGCCAAAGGGGCACAGACCGCGTTGGCTACTTTCCCCCGGGCATCGTTGAGGTAGTCAGCAAGCGGGTGGGCATACCCGTGGCCCGTCTCCCTTCTGCACCTACCCTGCTGCGGCCAAGCTTCTCCCGGATGTCACAGCCCTCTGCTGATGACCCCCTGCCACCTCTCACCTATGGCCAGCTCCCTCGGGTGGGCCTCAGCCCAGACAGTCCAGGTACATTCTCCCAGAAGGCAGTGCGGGGCGCTGGGCGCTGGCAAGTTGCCAGTCAGCTGTTAGCCGTGCCGCCTCTGACCTTTATGCTTTTGCCCCCTGCAGCAGGTGACAGGAACAGCGTGGGCAGCGAGGGCAGCGAGGGCAGCATCCGCAGTGCTGGCAGTGGGCAGAGTTCCGAAGGCACCAATGGCCACGGCACTGGCCTCCTTATTGAGAATGCTCAGGTAGGAAGAGGACAGCTGGGCCTGGGCAGCGCCTGCCTGGTGCCCGCTGTCCATGTACTGAGCAGCCTCTTTTTCTGTCTCTAGCCACTGCCCTCTGCCAGTGAGGACCAGTTGCTGTCCGGCCTGCACGCCCCATCCCTGGCGGGTAAGAAGGGTATTGGCGGGGCGGGGAAGTACAGGTGGAGAGGTTAGGCCACGCCCCTGCCCACCCCTCCTCCAACCACTCAGGATACCTTTTCTCTCCTTCCTGGAAGACAACCTGAGCCACCGCCCTCTGGCCGGCTACCGCTCTGGGGAGACGTTCACCCAGGATGTGAGACCAGAGCAGCTTCTGGAAGGGAAGGTGAGGTTTCTACCGAGAAATATGCTTCAGGCCCTGGCAGAGAGTTGAGGGCTTTGGTACCCACCTAGAGCTGGCCCTGGGGAAGCTACGGGCCGGTGGGCTAGTCCCTTTCTCAGCCGACTTCTCCGTCCCCTCTCGCCATGCCCCAGGATGCGCAGGCCATTCATAACTGGTTAAGTGAATTCCAGCTGGAAGGCTACACAGTCCACTTCCTGCAGGCTGGCTATGATGTGCCAACTATCAGTCGAATGACACCTGAGGTAAGTCCTGTGGCAGGTGAAGGGAAGGCCCAGCAGGCAGAGGAGGGCCCTGATGTCCATGCCCTGTGTGACAGGATCTGACGGCCATTGGGGTGACCAAACCTGGGCACCGGAAGAAGATTGCCTCAGAGATTGCCCAGCTCAGCATTGCTGAGTGGCTGCCCACCTATATCCCGGTGAGCAGGCGGACAGGGTGGGCCCTTTGGCTCTTGCCCAGGGCGGTGGCCTTGGGAAGGGGCAAGCTTCCTTTCCTGTTTGGGGAGAGCCAGGTTTCGATGGTGGTACTCTTCCAGGCGGACTTGCAGGAGTGGCTGTGTGCACTGGGGCTGCCACAGTATCACAAGCAGCTGGTGAGCAGCGGCTACGACTCCATGGGGCTGGTGGCGGATCTCACCTGGGAGGAGCTGCAGGAGATAGGCGTGAACAAGCTGGGTGAGGACTACTTTGCGGCCTCCTGGCAGCCCCGGACTTCAGCTACCTCTGGGAGAAGGGGAAAGGGGGGAGGAGGGGTCTCTGCAGGGCAAACAGGACAGCCCTAGACCCAGCTAAGCCATCTGCTTCTGTCTTACCCTTCCCAGGGCATCAGAAAAAGCTCATGCTCGGTGTGAAGCGGCTGGCAGAACTTCGGCGCGGCCTGCTGCATGGGGAGGCCCTGGGTGAGGGCGGACGCCGGCTGACCAGGGGTCCAGAGCTGATGGCCATCGAAGGCCTGGAGAATGGGGACGGTCCGGCCATGGCTGGCCTCCGTCTCCTCACCTTTCAGGGCAGTGAGCTGAGTCCAGAGCTACAGGCAGCTATGCAGGCAGGGGGTGGCCCAGAGCCACTGCCCCTGCCCCCTGCCCGGTCCCCCAGCCAGGAGAGCATCGGTGCGCGCTCCCGGGGGTCTGGTCACTCTCAGGAGCAGCCTGTCTCCCAGCCCAGTGTCAGTGACCCCAGTGCCCCGCAGGAGAGGAACCTTCCAGAGGGTACAGAGCGCCCCTCTAACCTCTGCTCCTCACTCCCTGGCCAAGGTCCCGCCCCTTATGTCTTTATGTGCCCACAGAGTTCACCCTCTAGCCCAGCCCCAGGGCCACCTCCCGGTGCTCCCCGGGCCTTCTCCTACTTGGCTGGCTCTCCTGCGGCTCCTCCAGACCCACCTCGGCCCAAACGCCGGTCCCACAGCCTGAGCCGCCCTGGCCCTGCTGAGGGAGAGGCTGACGGGGAGGCTGAAGGGCCGGTGGGCAGTGCCTTGGGCAGTTACGCCACCCTTACTCGGAGACCGGGACGCAGCACCCTTGCCCGGACTAGTCCCAGCCTGACCCCCACACGAGGGACCCCCCGAAGCCAGTCCTTCGCCCTCCGTGCCCGTCGGAAAGGTCCCCCACCCCCGCCCCCCAAGCGCCTCAGTTCAGTCTCTGGCCCCACCGAGCCACCTCCACCAGAGGGAAGCCCAGGACCCAAGGATGGGGCCACAGGTCCCCGGAGAAGAACGCTGAGTGAACCAGCTGGCCCCTCAGAGCCCCCCGGCCCTTCTGCCCCAACCGGCCCTGTGTCGGACACAGAAGAGGAGGAGCCTGGGCCTGAGGGGACACCTCCGTCTCGGGGCAGCTCTGGAGAAGGGCTGCCATTCGCAGAGGAAGGGAACCTGACTATCAAGCAGCGGCCGAAGCCAGCCGGTCCCCCACCCCGGGAGACGCCTGTACTCCCTGGCCTTGACTTCAACCTCACAGAGTCAGACACTGTCAAACGGAGGCCCAAATGTAAAGAGAGAGAGCCACTCCAGACTGCACTGCTGGCCTTTGGAGTCGTGGGTGGTGACACCTCTAGCCCCTCTGCTCCCCTGTCCTCCCAGACCCCCTGTGACCCTCCCTCAACTTCCTCTAACCCTCCACGGTCTGAGCCTAGCAGCCTTTCAACTCAAGGAACTCCAGCCCCAAATCTCAGCCCCAAACCTCAGCCCCCGGGCCACCAAGGGACCTCTGCAGGGACAGCTCTGCCATCGGAGCCCCCAGCTGCCCCCTCTGCTGCCTTCCTCAAAGTGCCTGGAGCAGGTAAGAAGTGAGACCTGCAGTCAGAAGGCTGCCTGTGCAGTCACAGCTAGCCAAGTCACGTGGTGGGTCGCCTTTGTCTCTGCAGGAGCAAGTCCCAAGCCTGTGTCTGTGGCCTGCACTCAGCTGGTATTTTCTGGCCCCAAGCTGGCTCCTCGGCTGGGCCCCCGCCCAATACCCCCTCCGAGGCCTGAGAGTACTGGGCCTGTGTGTCCAGGCCGGGCCCAACAGAGACTGGAACAAACCAGCTCATCCTTGGCGGCTGCGCTGAGGGCAGCTGAGAAGAGCATCTGCACCGGGAACGAGGAGCCAGAGGGGTGAGCTGGGTGCTGGGTGCGAGGAGGGGGCTGGGCTCGGGAGCACTGGGAGCTGCAGGCAGGGTCTGGGACTAGCGCCTCTAGTGAGATGCCAGGGCCTCGTAGTTTTAGATTCCTGCAGACATGGCCCTTCGTCCATGAGCCTCTAAACAAACTCACCTGTAAGGGAAGGACGGTAACTCCTGCTACTGGGAGGTTGTAAACAGTAAGAGGTGGGGTACAAAGTGGCATCAGACAGCAGATCCGCGGCCCATCTCCTTAAGGCTGTCCCTTGATGCAGTCCCACAGCCACCTCGACCAAGCACATTCTGGACGACATCAGCACCATGTTTGACGCCCTGGCTGACCAGCTGGATGCCATGCTAGACTGAGCAAGACTGGCTTGTGACCCTCCCTCCCGTGGTACCCACAGTGACCTGCCAGCACTCACCACCTGTGGCCCAACATGGAAGAAGACCCTGCCGCCCAAGGAAGGAACAGGAAGAGAGGGCTGGCTGGGCTGGAGCGCCCTTCCACAGCAGAGACCCTCCTATGGCTTTAAGCAGGGCTGTCAGACCCTCAAGGGGGCGGAGAGAACTTGTCAGAACCTGACAGGGACCTCAGCTGTGTGGGAGCCGGTAAGCCCCTCCTGTGTACAGCTGACTGCTCGGCTTTGGCCCCTGAACAGGGACCCTGGTAAGAGCTTTCTCCTCTAGGAGGAGGTGGCGACAGGGCTGGATGTTTGCACCATCCCCACTGAGTGACATCTCGGTGCTTAAGGGGGCTCTTCTGGCCGCCCACTGAGCTGCCTGTCCCCTCCGTGCAAGTGTACATAGGACATGTAAATACACAGCAGGGGCATGCCTTCCTGCCAGTGGCCGTGGTCTCGTCACCTCCTGCCCCTGTCTGGACATCCCACACAGGGAGGCAGTGCTGGCCAGGGCCAGAGGCAGCATGATTAACAGATTCCCTAATGCCCAACCTTTTACAACTGTATATAATATTTTTTGAAGCAGAGAGAAATGCATATATTTTAAATGGAATTTATTCTGTCTATTAACTGCCTGAGAGAATGCAGTGGGGAACGCCTTCAGACCGCAGACGAACCCTCTGCCCACCTCCTGCTGGAGGACCCAACTGGTCCAGTCCCATGCTCTGTAACTATTAACCTCCTCCCCAACTAACTCCAATGAAATGTCATTCCACGTGACGGGGCTGTGTTTGTGTCTGTGTGTCACACTTCCTAATCTGCGGCTGCCCTTCCACCCGCACCTGGGGGCACTCATCGCTGTGGATGTGGAGTGGTGATGGCTGCAGTCTTGGGAGGGAACGAACGCCTCATGCTTGTTTCATGGATCCGCCACAGGTTTTTCTTAAGCAATTTATAATTTTAATATAAACCAGTTGACATTCATTCCCAAAAGGCTCATTTCCAGTAAAAAAAAAAAAAAAAAAAAAAGGTAAAAAAAATCTCCCAGAACAAGGTTGGAGCCTGGGCTGGGTCCTCTGTGGACGACTTATGGCCAGCTGACACAGGGTCTCCAGGGTGAGGGGGACCCTTTTCCATCTCCCAGCCCAGAGGAAGGGGAGGGCGGGCCTCAGGGCCTCAGGACCACAGCCTGGCCCTGGCCCCGGGAAGAGGGAGGGAGGAGGGCACAGCATCTGCAGCAGTCACTGCTATCACAAAGGCTGAGGTTCACTCTGAGGCTTCCAGATGCAAGAGAGGAGGGTGTCTGGAGAGGGGACCCCCAAAGAGAGGCCACTCACAGGGAAGGGGGCTGAGGGTCCCTTTACCAAGGGCCTGAGGTCATACATTCAAGAGTGCCCCTGACAAGGCCAGGGGAGAGCCCGGGCAGGCCTGTCAAGCCACGGCTACAACCTCTCGCTCGGCTCCTTATGAAAAGCTCCAGAGTGGGGAAGACAGCGGGGCCTCCCACCCCCCCCCCCGCCACGAGGCACAGACACAAACCCTGAAACATTCGTGATAGCAACTCCCCAGACCCAGGAGTCCATCTGGCTCTAGCCCCAGGAAGCAGGGCAATGATGGCCGCCATGGCCAATGGCTCAGAAGGGAGAGTTCATGCCCAGTTTAGTCTCAAACTGCAGCTTCTGTCGCTTGTGGTAGCGGACACGGACCCTGGTGAAACAGATTGAAATACAGTTGACAACTCAGCCTGCTGGTTCAGGCCTGTAATTCTAGCTTCTCCGGGGCTGAGGCAGGAGGATGACAAGGCCAGGATGAGCCTGTGTCAAAAAGTAAAAAGTGCTGGGACTGTAGCCAGGGCAGGGTATATTAGAGGAGCTGGCTCACTCTCCAACACCAGGGGAAAAGAAAAAAGGCTGGCACAGCCCTTCAGACTAGAGGACTGCGCAGGACGCCAGCAAGGGGGTGATAGGTTTGGGGACAGCGCCCAAATGAGCGGTGTGCTGCAAGCTCACCGAATCTCGTGCAGCTTTACAATCTCGTTGGTGACTACCACAAGGACCAGGGACAGGCAGCCCAGGAGCCATGTCAGCAGGGGCACATCTTCCAGGCCAAAGTGGACACGGGTGTCCCTGTGTGTCCATAGCTGCAGGTCCACGACTGTCTGGACCACCTGACCTAGGAGCCTATGGAAGGAAAGAGTGGCCCTGTGTGAAGCTTTCTTCCCAGTGCAGTTAGTTCAAGCAGGGCAGCCAGACCCCGTCCCCCTCCCTCTTATGGTCCCTGTCCTGCCCCGCAGCCCCTCCACCAAACACTACTCACACCACAGGAACCGTCACCGCCCACCAGAGGTTTGTCAAGGGGCTCTTTCTCCACAGAGGCTTCGTGCGATGTACATGGGTGATGGAGATAAAGACTGGAAAGATTGGCCAGCGGGGTGTCAAGGCTCCCACTGGCCCCTGGTCTCGCCTCCCACCTTGGGGCTTCCCCGTTAGCAGTCAGCATCCCCAGTGAGACAGAGTCCTCACCAGTGTGCAGGACAATCAGGGCAGCTGTGAGCTTCTGAGCTGACAGCAACCCATTGGCGAAATCCTCAAACCAGGCTGGAGCCCTGTCATCATCGCTGCCAAAGGAAGGCAAAGGCTCAGCCTCCCGAGGGCCCACAGGAGAACGGGCTGGGCTGGGGCGGTGGGGGGAAAGGCCCAGGACCCACCTACAAAGCATGACTGAGGAGCAGTTGGTGAGGTTGCGGGCCCGGGCACTGTCACAGAAGCTCTGCAGTGTGAAGCCAAAGCAGATGAGGCACGAGCTGATGGTGAGGCTGAACTTAAGCAGGAAGCAGAGCAGGAAGTAGTGCTGGGTCTGTGGCATACAGGAGGACAGTCGGTCCTACGGCAGGCAGCCCCTCCGCGGGCCGCAAGGCAGACCTGTGCCTGCTACCCTTTCCACGTTTTGCAAGCTCTCAGCAAATGGTCACGCCTCAGAATATGGACCAGGGACCTCATTGCCAGGTTTGACCACCACCTCCACTAGCGCTCCAGGTCCCTGACCTCTGCAGAGCCTTCCAGGTTAGGCCCACTCCCAGGTCCAACCCTCAGAGCCTCCGAGAAGCCCTGGTAACCTGGGTCTGCCTTACTTACCTTCTTAGGAATGGACTGAAGATTTTTGCCTGTTGCCATAGACATGATGGAGCTATGTGGTGGCTTCCCCAGTAGAGAGATACTGAAATCAGTGTGGGTACAGGGACAGTGGTTACTATGTATCCCTCAGCTCTCAAAGGGAACACCTACTGGGAATCTTGGGATGAGGTCAAGTCCAGTAGGGTGCCAGAAAACTCTGGGCCCCTTGTGATACACAATGACATCCCAGCCCCACCAGCTGGGCACAGAGGGGATTCCAGGCCTCTCACCTGAGCAGAGGGTAACAAAAGCAGGACAACCATAAGATGTCTGTGGTACTCAGGAGTGGTGGCAGCTGGACCAGACAAGAAAGGAACTAAACCAGGAAAGAAAACATCACCACAGTTGTGGACCCCAAGGCTGCCTTACCCTCGCCCAACAGACTACTCATCTTGACTGACAGCAGCAGGGAGGGGAGGACTTCTACCAGTGGGGTCAGCTCCAAAGCTGAGGGCTACAGAGGTGTGTGGCCACACTGCACTCCCAGACTCCTCAGACTCATAACTGTCCCTCCCTTACGAAGAGAGGCCATGGCTGTGCAGGCCCCGGCTTACCTGGATGATCACCAGGGTCAGCTGGCACTGCAACAGGAAGAGGAAGCACTTACGGATGCCATAGGTGGCATGCCGAGCCTAAGGACCAGGAAAGACAGCAATGAGCCGGCCCTGCCTGGCCTCTCAGGCCCTCCAACAAGCGAGGTTCAGTCAAAGCCATACACCCACGGTGCTCCTCTAGGGAGGGGCAGGCACAAACTCAGCTGCCTCGGGGAGCTTCATTGGCTCCTCCCACAGGCCAGGAAGGCGGGAAGCATGAGATCTAGCGGACCCAGAAGTATCGCGTGTGGCCACTCCACCTTCAAGGCTACCCCAAAGGGCCCTGTGCCTCCCCCAGGGCCCACCTGCTCAATGAGACGGATGATGCTGATGCTCTCTTCCTGGCGAAAGGTCAGGGAGCAAGGCAGGCTGTTGAGCTGCCCGGACAACTGCAGGGGAGAAAGGCCGTCGGAGGCCTGGGCCATGGCGGTACTAGTGGCATAACCAAATGTCTCCCAGGAACAGCGGGATGGATACAGGGGATCCAGGGCAATGCTGCTCATTAAAGGGGAAAATCCACTCATTAACTACAGTCTGCAAAAACTCTAATCACAAGACCGGAGAGTCCTATCCCTCTTCTACCAGACCCAGGCCCCTGGGTCCTGGCCAAGGCAGACCCCTAGCTCCATGCAGGTCTGTCCACCCAGGGTCTGAGGTGCAGAGTTGGCCCACAGTCCCGGTGTGTCCCTGACCTGACATCGCTCTGGAGGAAGAGGCAGCTGTTCCGAAGGTTGGCAGAGCTGCCCAGGCAGCAGGTCACCTCCCCATACTCCTGCATGATCTTTATCATCTCACACATGGCTGTGGGCAGGTGAGAGACACAGGGTCAGGCGGGCAGAGCCCCGTGCAGGTGCTGGCAGAAACCCACAGGCTAAGATGACAGGACAGTGGGGAGCAGAGCCCTCTTTGGAGCGACCCCAGGCAGCGGCATGATCACATGAGCACTCATTTGAAGCTCCCTGAAATGAGGGCTTCCACAGCATCACCCCAGCTGGTCCCCGCCAGGGCTCAGAGGGGCCACAGCACTCACTGTCAGGGGTGCAGTCAGTGAAGAGGGGCACCAACAGCGGTACGTTGTCAATGTTCTGCAGGTGGGGCCGCACCTGGTGGATGCCCCGGGGCAGCTTGGCCTGGAGGAAGCAGAGATGCCAGTAGTCTCAAGATAGGGAGCAGAGAGTCAACTTCTCCTCCTCCTCCTGCTGCCCTGCACTTCCTGAATCAGCTCTATGGCCACTTCAGGGACACAGGGCAGATGCCACCGTCATACCCGGTTACAGTCCTCCAGGAAGCTGGGGATGTCACTGTCCGTAGGCTGGAAGCTGATGAGGTCTGAGTGACCCTCCTCCTCTAAGAGGAGGAGTCCTTCTGCATCATCTCGGGACACTGTGGGGATGAAAGCCTGTTCTCGCTTGGGCCAGCCTTCTGGGAGGCTCAGCCACGCCCTGCAGATAGTACAACCTTCCCAACAAGGGGGAATCTCTCCACACTCACTCCAGCCCTGCCCCAAGCCTTTGCCCTCACCCTGATTCAGGTCGTCATGGAGAGAGCCCGCATGGCTGGGGCTAGAGGGAGGGATCTCAGAGCCAGGCATGTCCCCATTGGGCGTGAGGGAGATGTGGCAGTTCCAGCCTGTCTCCAGGCCCATCTTTTCAGCAAACACCTGTGGAAGGCAGATGGCGTTGAGGGCGAAGGGCTCAGAAAGGTCTGTGGGGACAAGTGGAAAGGGCCTCCCACCTTGCTTTTGAGCTCATCCTCCAAAGAGAAATAGACAAAGCGGATACAGGCGTTGACCAGCCCATCGATGAGGCGCACGATGTCCAGTCGGGCCTGGTACTGGGAGGACACCACGCCCATGAAGATCTGACCGCTCAGGGCCTGCATGCAGTCTTCCTTCTCCAGCGCCTCCCCGATCCCTTCTTCAGGCGGGCACGAGGCACAAAAGCCAGCCAGGATGTGGCAAGACAATCCGGACGCAGCCCAGGCAGGGCATGGAGGAGCCAGCAGATTCCAGGAGGCAGCCCAGAGCCACACACACATAGAGGCCACACCCAAACCAATGAGCGTGAGGGCCGCAGAGGACCGCACACACAGCCACACAGGTGCACAGAATCAGCGGACATAAGCGCCAACACACATGAGGGAAAGACAATGACAGGTACTCATTAGTGAGGTGACCGTCGTGGGGAGCCGCTCTGAACACGGCTCGCTCGGCTCCTGCCCAGCCCTGCCCCACGGTACCATCAGAGCTCCAGCTGTTGCGGCGCGTGTTCGGCTTCATGGGGACAGGGCTGGGTAGCTCGCACATGGTGAAGATGCCGTTCTGGCCGGGTACCTGCACCAGCTCGATGCATTTGCCATTGAGCTGAGAGGACAGGGTGCAGTTCATGGGCTTGTAGGCAAAGGCAGAGCAATAACCAGACAGGCAGGCTCGCTGGTAGAAATCCAGTACTTTCTTTCTGCCAGACAAGTAGGAAGGAAGGAAGACAAGTGGTCTTGAGAGGTCCATGACCATTAGACAGGCAGGCGAACCTGCAAAGGCCCCTCAGTCACCTGTCAGAACCGGAAAGAGGGTAGATGTCAGCACCATCCCAGAAGTCTGTGCAGGCCTCCAAGACCACATCGGCAGTGCCGTGGGACAGCATCTGCTCTGTGCCTGTGATGGGGAAAGAGACCACATCAAAAGTGAGGCCACAAAACAGCTCCTGCCTTATTCTAACCCAGCACACTACAGTCCTTAGAGAGGGTGCAAAGGTACCCCCCCCCCCGATGGGGAAAGGGACCTCCCTTCAGACCTCCTGGTCAGTAAGCCACCATGGACTAGTAAGGGCATCACCTACAATGCTATCCTTTGGTGACTCTGGTCCCCAAGCCCAGTCCCCTGCCACTTCAGAGAACTTGGGGAGTTATCTACCATTCACTTGACTTGCCTCCCCTCCCATGAATAGATGGGGTAGGATGTGGTCCCCTCCCCACCAGGCCTTGGAAGGTCTGTCTGGGAGCCAGCTGAGCTTACTGGTGGCAGTATCTTTGATGAAAAGGCTGATCATGTGGCTGAGTGGGGGGCGTCGCTTGGTGACACAGGAGGGCCGCCCCAGAGATGTCTCCTTCACGGTCTCAGCACTGGGGAGGCGGTAGAGCGCCAGATGGTTCTCCTGCTTGAAGAGCTCCTTGGCACCTGGAGTGAAGCCTGTGAAGGACAGCACAAAGGAAGGGACTTAAGAGAGGAGACAGGCCTCGCCTGGCCACCTTACACCATGGAACAAGGGAGACACAGAATCTAGTTGCCCTGGCCAGCGCCTGCCATCTTTATATCCCAGCAATTAGTCATCTTGGCAGACTAGGAAGCTAAGAGTGGCTATGTTTGTGACAAACGAATGCCATGCCAGGGACAGTCAGTGCCAGGCCTGCTCTGAACGCTCAGCAGTCAGTCAGGCAGCCACGCCCCAACGCCATCGCCACAGTGCCATCCGTCCGTACCTATGAGACGGGCCAGCTCGCAGAGGCCCCAGGGCACGTGCACGGGCAGCACAGCACTGTGGCTCTCCTGCAGGGCGATGTTGCACAGGTGGTCGGAAAAGCGGCACAGGCGTTCGGTGACACTGACGTTACACAGGTTCAGCAGCACGTTCAGGCCCAGAGGCTTGAGGGAGGTAAGGTGTAACTGCCAGTTGGAATCATCAAACTGGATGCATGACGGGTTCTGCTGGTCTTGGGACAGGCTCAGCATCTCCAAGTGGTAGTCACACACAAAGTCCTCGGCCTCATAGGGGTCACCTTCCGTCCCCGGCTGGGCCTGGAGGAAACGGAAGGGGAAGGGAAGCTCCAAGCTGGGAGGAGGTGCGGGAAGGCTCCGATGCCCAAGCAGGCCCAGAACTAGCCCCACATGGGAGCCCATCTTCCCCAGGAGGGCACCACACTCTCCTGTCACTGCTGACAGCCCCTCTCTGCCATTTAGGATCTGCACCCATTATTCTCTGGCCTTGTGGCTAAGATCAAGAATAGGATCTACACTAATAAGCCTGGCGGCGGCAGGGAACAAGAGGGTCTGTGTTAGCTGGGGACACCTGCCAGGGAGCCACGACTAATTAGGAGGCTGCTAACCTGGGGAAGAACTGGATGGGGACGAAGTCCCATCACAGACAAGACTCAGGTCAGACCTCAGAAGCCGTCTATCTGCTCACCAGGCCTGGAGACTACAGGAAGACGGACCGCATGGGCCTCCCCCGCTCTTCCAGAGCACACTGGTTCAAACTGAGCTATTTCCCGTTGATAGGGGAGGCACGAAGGCCCGTGACACACAGGGCAGCTTCTCTACACTGCCTCCTTCCTCTCACCTTGCCGGGCTCTTCCTCTCCACCTTCAGTGTCCCTGCTGAAGCTCACATTGGAACCAGATGGGTGTTTGCTGCGGCCGTATACTTTGTGATGGGGGTGGGGCTCAGAGGGCTTGGGGCCATCGCCGGGCCAGTCACCATGCTCCTGCTCGTTGGAAAGGTGCAGGGTATTGTTCAGGGAGCCAGCAAGGAGGGCATCGCGTTCATGGGGCTGAGGAGAACAGGGGCACAGGTCTAGGACCAGAGTCCTACTGCTCCTGAGGGTCAGGGAAACGGGGCAGTTCTGGGCTCCTAACTGCCTACGCCTTCCTCTTCGTTGTTTTGGTTTTTGAGACCAAGTCTCTCTATGCAGCCCTGGCTGTCCTGGAATTCACTATGTAGACCAGGCTGGCCTCGAACTCATAGAGCTCCACCTGCTTCTGCCTCCCGGGTGCTGGGATTAAATGCGTGTTTGACCATGCTTGTCCACTCGTCCTTCATCTGAGTCCAGAGCCCTTCTCTCCCTCCTAAGCCTCACTCTCCCAAGGCCACAGGCCTGGCTCTGAGGCTAAGCACCCTAGACTCACTCCATGCGAGCTGGCAATACCTCCTCTTCTACCTCAGGATGGCAGAAGGAGCGGGTAGACAGGTCGTCTGTGAGGTCCTCGTGGCTGCTATGAGGGGGCTCTGCCTTCCCGCTGAAGAACAGTACAGTCTCTGGGCTGGGATTTGGCCATGATAGGATGCCCTGCTTGTCTACACAGCACAGCACCTGTAGGGAAAGAAACAGGCTTAGAAAAAGACGGAGCACTGATCCAACTGCCCCTTGGCCACACATGAAACGGACAGACAATCCAGACCCAGCCAGAAGGGTTAGTCAATAGGTGCAACCTCCCAGCAGGGCCTCCTCACCGTGACAGAGCCCAAGCTATGCAGCAGACTGGCACTGTAGCTCAGTGTTGGCGATGTCCCCTGGATCACCCTCAGAAAGTGACCCCAAATGCAGCGCAGCATTTCCTGGTGGGAGACAGACAGTCTGTGAGGCCATTTGGGGCTCAGCCTTATTTCCTTGAACATAGCCTGTAGGGCCCAAATCAAGAAAAGTCCAGGGAGATGTTGGGAAGCGGGGTTCTAGGACAAGATATTGACATGGGATCAGGCCCGGGTCATGCACGTATACAACAGGGATGAGGGGGGCCACTCCAAAAGCTCAGCTGGTGATCAAGGCCATAGAATCACAGAGATCCAGGAAGGACACAGCCCTCGCGCCTGCAGGGGCCTGGAAGAAACCCCATTTATCTCATACCTGAGAGGAGACAGCTTCGGTGTAGCTGCTGAGCGTATCCTCTGAGAACTTGGCCAGCTGCACAGACAGGGTGAGGGTCAGTGAGGAAAAGGCTGCCTTCCCAAAGACCCCCATGTCTACACAGCTGGACTAGCAAGGCTCCTGACCCCTCTGGCGAAGAGCATCAGGAAACTCCCCAGTCATGGGACCCACACTTGGGCCTGGCCTGGAACCTACTTGATAACAGAAAGTACCTGGAGCCATGCAGAGATTCCCAGGGCCTCAGCATGCTAAAACCAAGGGGGAACCAGACTTGTGCCCCCTTCCTGGCACGGCTCATTAACCCCTTTTGTTCCTGCTGCTGTTCTCTGATGCTTTGGAACAACGTACCAGGGAGCTGGGCGAGGCCTTGCTCATCTGGGCCAGGACACGGGCTTCTCCACAGGCGGTAGCCAGGACCCAGAGGACGGGGAAGAGCAGAGGGAGGATGGGCAGCATGCCATTCACCTGAGAAAGAGCCAACCACATGCCAGGGCCCCAAAGGGAGGAAAAGAGGGAGGGATGCCCCGCAATGCCCTGCCTCACAGCCATCCCCCGAGGAGCTGGGAGGAAGGCAGGCCAAGGAGACAATCTTTAGCTAAACCCTGAGATGCTCTGGACCACACAAAGGGAAGATCAAGACAGAGAAAGCACAGCAGGGCCACCCTTACCTGGAGCTGGAGAAGGGTGTACTGCCACGAAGTGACCCCCGGTGCATTGAACATGAAGCGCAGGGCGTTGGTGATGAGAAAGCCAGCCTGTGGGGCCGGATGGCATAGCCTCAGTGTAGGTCCCTTCCTTCGCCATTCACAGGGCTGGCTTACCCTGACCCCTCTGACGCACTGTCCCTTGGGCTGGGCCCTGCAGCTCACTCATGTCTGGCCCTGTCCCCTGCCCTGCAGCCCCTCACTCATGCGCGCGTGCACACACACACACACACACACACACACACACAGGCATGCACGCACCAGGACCACCGGCACAGCATAGTGAAGCATCACTGACTGGACTGTGAACCTTTCGTTGTCCAGAGCAGTGACCGGGCGTGACAGGGCCATGTCCAGACACCATCTGCAAAAAGGAGGCAACCCTCAGTCTCTCCTGGGGGAAGACACCAGACAGCCATACCTCCAAGTCCTGAAATCCCCTAGTCGGCCTTGGCCACGGCCTGGGCCACAAAGTGCCCTGAGAGAGGGGCTGTGGCCACCGCCATGGTATCCCCTCTGTCTGAAAATGGTCACAGGAGGCTGAGCTGGTGCCTACCACCACCAGGGCCAGGGATGCAGGAGACCGCTTCCTTGTCACTCACGGGAAGCACTGGAGGACAGGGCAGCAGGGCGGGGGGTGGCGGCACTACCTGACGTTGTCAATCACAGGAGTCTGCAGGACTCGGAAGAGCCGGTGTTGCTGGGGGTTCTGTGGGCCTTTCTTCACTTCTCCCCTGGGTGAGGGCGGTGGAGAGAAGGGGGGGAACAGGTCTCCTGGCTCCAGGACAATGTGCTCGTCATCCTGCGAGCAGTGATGCAGAGTGAAAGGACGCTGTCACCCTGTCACCGTGCATTGTGGGCTTTGGGACGGGGAGGTGGGGGCTGTTTTGTTTTGGGTTTCTTGGCTCACTATGTAGCTAATACTGCCCTGGAACCCACACACAATCCTTCTGCCTCAGCCTCCACAGTGCTAGGATTTTAAATGTGTGATGGCAAGACCACTCTTCCTGGACAGTGCCAGCCAAGTAGAAACAGCTCCCAAGGTCAGGGTCTCTCCACTAGCAATGAGCCCTCCACGAGCAATGCTGGGATGGGCCCTATGGGACTTGGGTTTCTAGGGCTTAAGGGTCCAGGAAAAGACAGAGCACCAGGAGGAGGAGGTTCCAGCCCTGCCCGAGCGCCCTTGTAAACCCCCAAGCTGGGCAGGAAGCATCAAGACCCAGCCTAAGGCTCCTAACTAACTTCAGACACTCCCTCGTTGTTCCCTCTACCTTGATGCCCCTCAGGGAGGCGAAGGACTCCTGGCCAGGCCGCAGGGCTATGATGTCGCCTTCCACCAACAGGCTGACGGGCAGGTTTACCAGGTGCCCATCTCTGTAAGCCCAGTGCAAGGACCAGGATGGTGCAAAGGGCATGTGAAGGTCTGGATACATGGCGTTCGGCCACTTGATCTCCTTCTCATCCCTGAGAGCATCTAACGAGAACGGAAACAGCATCTCTGGGCCTGCAAACCTATTCCATGCACGCAAATGCACCCCACATTTCATCAATGCCTCCCCTGAGGGGTCTTCCCTAGTGTACCAGGAATGATTCCAGCACTGTGGGAAGGGAGAGCAGAAGGAATAAACCTGTCTGCCACGCAATGAGCGATGGCTTCCAGGAAGAGAGGGACAGCATGGGGACAGGCCAGGAAGAATGGGCAAGACTATCGGTTAGAGACAAAGGAGGAGAAGCAAGCCAGGTGGAGATGAGCAGAACAGAGGCACAAAGTGGGCTGGGCAGAGGGGCTCTAGGACAGAAGGACATATAGGATGACGAACAGAAAGCGGAGAGGCTGAACAGGGCAGCTGGAGCCTGTGGCAGAAGCAGCTCTCAGGAGCTGTGTGTGGCATCTGGGATGGCCTGGAGAAGCAAGAGAGCCACAGGAGGCGCCTGTCACCCTAGACCTGGCTGGCTGGGTCTGGACCGGTCACAGCACATCCTTTCTACAGATGCTCCGACCCTCAGTCTCACCTTGGATTTGGTCAATGATCCCCCGGAGCCTGCGCTCCACCTCCTGGCGCTTCAGCCGATCTTGCCGCCCAATGAGGATGAGGTTGAGAATCAGCAACAGGAACAGGGCACAGGCATTTACCAGCTCCACTCCATGGCTGCAGTTGAGGGACACAGAGAACAGCATGTGTTTCCGGGGGAACAGCCTCACAGACAGCTCCCCCGCCCTGTCCCTCTAGCCACTTTTGAAAGTGGTCCTGCCTGCTTCCTGACTCTAGCCACGTCTGTCTCCATCCCCGGTCAAGGGAATTCTTCTGTACCCGGGTCACTAGGGGCCAGCTCAGGCAACAGTCCCCCCAGAGTCCTGAGCTATCCCAGGGTTAGAATGAAGCTCACAGAGGTCATGGGCCCTGCTTACCTCCCGGCTGGCTGGCCCCGACAGCAACACAGCATCAGCAGCACAGCCAACAGCATGAGAGAAGCCCCCGGCCAGTGGAAACAGGAGCAGCGGTTACTCAGGTGCAGGAAGCTGCTTCCCCATGCCTCCTGGGTGACATGACAGGCAGGCAGTGAGCCTACCAGCTCGCGCCAATATGCCACATCCTAAGGCCACCTCTGGGACACCACTCCCAGGAAACTGGAACATCTGACCATGTGAAGTCTCAGTTGAGTCTTCGCTATCCAGGGGACAAGCACAGCGTGTCCCTGAGACAGGGCCTCCCTGCTCCTCTGCCTACCCAGCCATGCTCCAGCCACCCCGGAGGAAGCTTCACCTTCCACGTCCGGCACTTCTTCCGCTCTTTGAGGTGTTTCTCCAACACAGCCTCCAGCTGTTCCTTCAGGACACTGAGTGCCTTCCGGGTAGACAGGCCCAGGGCCAAGGGGGGCTCTCCCTGCAGGGAAGCGGAAATCGTCAGCTGCTTCCCAGGGCCCTGCCCAGACTCACTCTCTGATTGCAGACCCTTCTTCCCTATCCAAACCCCCTACACCCCTTAAAGCCAACTGAAAATTAAAAGCACGAAAAAGACGAGAAGTCTCGTTCACCCTCAACCCATGGAGGCGGGAAGTCCTCCTCCCCATCTTCTGACCACTCTCTACCCTCCCCCACACTTTACACCAAGATTTCACAGCTCTATCAGATGTCACAGACCAAAAGATAGCTTTTCTCTTTTGTTATTGTTGGTTTTTTGAGGCAGGCCTCTCCAGGCTTTCCTGGCTGTCTTGGAACTCATTGTGTCAATTGGTCGATTAGGCTGGCCCTGAGCTCACAGAGCCTAAGTACTAGGGTTAAAGACATGCATCACCATGTCTGTTCTCATCCTCTCATCCTCTCTCTCTCTCTCTCTCTCTCTCTCTCTCTCTCTCTCTCTCTCTCTCTCTCTCTCGACAGGGTTTCTCTGCGTAGCCCTGGCTGACCTGGAACTTGCTCTGTAGACCAGGCTGGCCTTGAACTCACGGAGATCCCTGGCTCTGCCTCCTGAGTGCTGAGATAATAGGCATGTGTTACCACTGCCTGAAATATATCTATTTAAGAGCCTAATTCTGATGTTGTTTCTGGGGAAGGCATTTAAGAAACACTTGGGGCTGGTAAAATGGTTCTGCCGGTAAAGTTGCAGGCTACTAAGCATGATAACCCGAGTCCAAGCCCCAGGGCCTACATGGTAGGAGAGAACAGATTTCTGCAAGTTGCGCTCTGAATTGTACACACACAAACAGAAGTAATAACTTAAAAACAAAAGAAGACCCTTCCACCTTTGCCGTCTAGTACCACTATTTTGCAAGACAGGATTTTGCAACACTAAGAATTAGGCAGGGCGTAATCTCGGGGGAAACACAGCTAGCCGTTCCTAGGGAAAGACACACAGCGACTCGGCCTCGCTCTCTCCTCACCACAGCTAACCCTGGGCAACTAGTCAGGTTGAGTGGCGTGACCTCACATCCGGTCCACTCTTCCTTGAGGACACCTGTTCCTGCTTCCTCCTTCTTTGACTCCAGCTGTGCTCCCTCCTTTCACCCCACAGCTCATCCTGGCCAACTGTTGGATGTTTCCAGGGAGACCTCTGCCACAGCAGCAGATTCCCCTGCCACCTACATGCTTTCAAGGCCTGCATTTCACTACCGGCCAGGCCCCTGTCCCACAGGAACAGGAAATGTCTCAAGCTCCAAACTCACCCCAACCCTGCCTGCCTGCCCGTCATCACCTCTCCTCCTACACCGCCACTGCCCGGTCACCTCCGCACTGCCCCACGCGCCCACGCCCGTTCCCTACGCACACCTTTCCTTCCCGACCCTTCTTTACCTTTTCCACACCTACAGCAATACCCCAGCCAGAGAAAGAATCCCTCAGCAGCTGACCCTCCTTTACCTTTACGTTTTTATGACATTTGATTGACTGACTGGGTCAAAGGTCAGCTCTCAGGAGTCAGCTCTCTCCTGGCATCATGTGGGTCCCAGGCTTGATGGCTGGGACCTTTATCCACTGAGCGGTCTCTGCAGCCCCCTATCCTTTACTGTTAGAACCCATGCCCCAGCCCTGCGCCTGCTCTGTGGGCCCTTAGGGGCCTGGGACCTCCCTGTTCTTCCTTCTGTGGCCCCTGCTTCTTCAGCCCGTATACCAAGGGGTGCAAGGACACACTGGCTACCAGGCAACTCTTGCTTCTTCTTCTTCTTGTTCAAATGCCACCTCCTGAGGAGGGACAGCTCTCAACGCCCAGAGCTGTCTCTAGTCTAAAGGCATCGGACAACCCGGCCCCCAGCTTGCACCTCTGGAACGGATTCTGGATTGGCAGGCCTGGCTGTCTTACTGTACCTTAAGTTCAGTATTGTGGAACAATATCTGGCATAGAACTGAAGATGAATTCTCCCATCTCCACAAGCCCTCCCAGCTGAACCGGAACAGATGGTGCTAGATACACACAAGCTGAGTCAACTTCTGTTGGATGGATGTGTGACTGGATGAACACACAAGCAGCTTCAATGACCCCAGTGACACCTTAATCACGGATGTCAACTGCAACTTTCAGACATGCCAGCCGGGCAGTAGCACACGCCTTTAATCCCAGCACTCGGGAGGCAGAGGCAGGAGGATCTCTCGTGAATTAGAGGCCAGCCTGGTCTACAGTGTGAGATCCAGGACAGCCAGGGCTACACAGAGAGAAACCCTGTCTCAAAAGAAAAAAAGACATGCCTGCCTGGGTACCACCTTGACCGCACTGCACCAAAACTTGTGGACAAAGCAGACATGGGGTGAACCCATTGGAAGATCTCCAGCTGTAAAATACCAAGACAAACGGGTAATGGGTGCAACAAACAGTTCCCAACCAGACACTGGTGGCACACGCTTTTAATCCCAGCACTTGGGAGGCAGAGACAGCCTGGTCTACAGAGGGAGTTCCAGGACAGCCAGGCTACACAGAGAAATCCTGTCTCAAAAAAACAAAACAAAACAACAACAACAACAAAAACCCACCTCTGCCTCCTAAGTGCTGGGTTAAAGGCATGCACCACCACCACCTAGTGAGTCTTAGCTTCTTTACCTAAATCCAGTGGGATCCTGACTCCAAAGCAAGTGTTCAGTGCACCATTTAATCTCCTAGAAGGGCAGAGACCTTCTTGGGGGCTCTAGGGAGGAAAGACAAAAGGCTACAAAGGGCAGGCTGGGCCTGTTCCCCCGTCAAAGGGAGAAGGAGGATTTGGGGCCAGAGTAAGAAGCCTGGGCCCCTAGCGCCTTCCCCTCACACTACCCTGCTCTCCTGTGGCATCCTCTCTACAGCCTGGTACAAGAGTTCCTGGAATGTGCACGATTAAGACCACACCTCTAAAACCCATGATGTGTGAGACAGTCTGCTGCATGCCTCAGAGACAGGGACAAGCAGAAGAAATGCACAGGCCCTGAGGTCACATGGGAAGCTGCTGGACAGAGAAAAGCCTATGAGGAGAAGCCTGGGGACCAGAGAGGCATCCCTCCTCCAGCCAAGCCTGCAGAGCACTCACTGGCTCCCGGGCTACAGGGCTACTGGCCACCCTGACATCTGCTGCCTCCATCTCTGCAGCCCCATGCCCAGGACTGACCACCTCACTATCACTTGCTCCTCTCCAGGTAAGGGAGGTATGGTCAGAAGGTGACAGATGCTTGCTGGATAGGACGCCTGCAGAGCTGTCTGCACGAATCTGCCCCCGCTTATTGTGTCTGGCCAGGGGTACCAACTCCAGACAGGGGATTAAAGACAGTGCAACAGAGGGAAAATAAGCTATTCTGTAATTACATGCTGCCCAAAGGAAGTGCCTGCCCACACAGGCTGGCCCTGTGGTGAGGACTGGGCCTTCTGAGCCAGCCTACTCTCCACAGGCTTCAACTATGCTGATCCAACTGCTAAGCCTCCTTGGCTCACCCCTCTGAGGCAGGAGGGCCAGAGTTCAGGGTCCAGTCTCTGCTTCCTTCTTTTTCTGAGCTTTTCCCCAGGTGGCAGAAGATCCAGAGCCAAAGGCACTCAGTGGAAAGCCACCGTGCTTTCTGAAGGAGGTGCAGAACCGGTTGGCAGGGAACGGGCAGAGGGACACAGGGTACTTACTCCATGTTCCCGGGCGCCTTGGAGAGATGCAGCAAGTTCCTATTATCTGAACAATAAATAAGTCAGCGCAGGCTAAGATCTGCTTCTCTTTACCTACTGAGGTAAAGAAGGGAGAGGAACATTTTGACGTGCTTAATAAGTCTCTCCTGCTCCTCTGTTGCTAAAAACTCACCCCTTCCCTGACTGGCACCTTTAGAAACCTCCTTGGGGCCAGGATTGAGGCTTCTACCCCCCTCCCCAGGGACCAGGACAGAAGGACTCTGAAGCCTTTCAGGCAGAGCCAGCCCTTCCCACTAACAATTGTCAGCAATTTGCCAGCACACTTAGCTAATTCTCACACTCAGCCGGAACAAAGAGGAAGCAACTTGAGTCAGAAAGGTAGTTGTTGTTTTGGTTGACTGGTTTTGGGTTTTTTGTTTGTTTGTTTGTTTTGTTTTGTTTTTTGAGACAGGTTCTCGATACATAACCCTGGCTGTCCTAGAACCCACTATGTAGCCCAGGCTAACATCAAAGTCAGAGATCTGCCTGTCTCTGCCTCCTAAGCACTGAGATTTACCCACCATGCTGGGTAAAAAGGAAACCATCACCAGCTGCGCTGGCTCTCTGTCCCGTCCCACGCTGAGGAGGAGCAGAACTTCGAATTCTCGGGAAACAAAGGCAAAATGGCTGACAACCACAAGCAGTAATCTAGCACCGGGCAGGACCCCACGGCCATCAGCATCAGGTGGTCTAGTGAGCCTTCTAATGTCTGGTGCACTGGGCTTTTCTGCGCCCTCCTCAGCAAGAAGCCCCCGGCCTGTGCCCCTGTAGCGCACTTCTGAAGTTTTCTCCACTTTTCTTCCTCCTCTACCTGTTTCAGAAGCAGCAAAATTCAGGGAGGCAGCTCACACATGTAACCCTTGACTGCTGGCCTTGACAACAGGTGACTACCAGTTACACTCAGCTGGCCCCTCGCCAGGCCACCCATCACAGCTGCTTTAATCAGTGCAGATGGAGAGGAATCAAGGTTGAACTCAGTGCAAACCCAAGTCACCGAAGCACAGCCCGCCACTCCCATCCCTCTGTGTTTGGCCAGCACATCTGAACTGCAGCCTGGCAGAGCCGCAGCTCTTTCTTCCTCCTCCTCGTAAGAGCTCGTGCAGACTTCAGCACCTTCCCGACCTGCTTCCCCACCTTCAGGAAAGCTGTCCCAACCCTGACCCCTGACTCAGTTACCTGAGTGATCCAGCAGGAAAACAAAAGTCCCCTCGCTATAAAGAAGGGTGGCATCCAGACCTTGGGTCCTAGCATCCTTTTGCCCCCCTGGGAAACTCAATCCCCAAGGCTGCTCTGGGTTAACTTGAAAACCTGGCTAGCCATTCCAAGGCATGCTAGCTTTCTGGCTCTCCGTCCCAATCTCCTTCCAAAGCCATGGTTACCCCAGGCTCATCCCAGCTGCTTCCTGATTTGCAGCATCTTCAGGACTCCGTTGGCAACCACAATCCAAAGGTTCCCTCATAAGCAGGGAAGGAGGCAGTTGGAACTGTGAAAGTCAAGCTGCCATCCATACTCACCATGCTGTGCTTGCCCTGGTGGGGTAGCCATAGCTCTGCCTGCTTGAAGAGCATGGGGCAGAGTCTGAGGGACAAGTGGCCAGGTATAGTAACTCTCCACACCACCCTCAAGGATAGAGGGAGAAGAGGAACAGACCGAGAGAGCAAGAGAGACTGAGAGAGTAGAGGGGAGCCGGCTGGGCCGGGTGTGAGTGAGAGGCCGTGCTGCAGAGAACCGGCAGAGCAGAGCTTCAATCTGCTGATTAATTCAGCCTATTTCCAGTCACGCTGCAGATTCAGGGAGGGAGGAGGAGGCGGCAGGCAGCAACAGCAGCCCTGAGAGGGAGGGAGGGAGGGAGGAAAAAGAGAGGAAGGAGGAGGGTGAAGAAAGGAGGGCTCAGAGGCAAAAGTTGGTCCACGATTTGCCAGATGTCCAAGAGTTTGGCCCTTCCAAGGGGACCAGTGCAGGGTGAGCACAGAGGCAAGATACAGCTAGAGGGTAGCCAGATGGATGGAGGGACATTTGGACAGATGAAAAAGCTGTCAAGGACTTGGGGCCCTGAGGGCAAATGCTGGCATGCAGGAGTACCCTAGGGAACACAAACACTGGATCTCCTGCCAGTCTACCTGTCCA